CACTAGAGCCCATTTGAGTCATTTTTCCAAAAATGTATTTTGGAATAGTATTTTGACGGAGAATGTGTGTTTAAATTTTCCCCATTCATCTCATTCATTTGGGCACCTATGTTCCCCCCTTCTTTCATTCTCCATTTTCGCCTTTCCATACTCACACTCCGCTCAGCTGCCATTTTTCAGTCTTCAGCCTCCCACCACCTCTGAAGTTTCGACCATTTGGCCAGCTCCGATATCTCGAACATTTGGCCACATTTGCTTTCGTCGCACCATTAATATCTCCAAACATTTGGCCACCTTCACTTCTGTCGTAGCTCCGACCTCCAGCCATCGTCGCTTGTTTGGTTGAAGATGACAAGAAAAGGTAAATTTTGAAATTTATTTTTATTCTTTGGTTGAATGACATAAAATCCACTTTCATGGGAGCATGATACTGAGCAGCATGATTTAGGAAGGATTTTTTTTTTTTTTTGGAGAAGAATTTGCAAAGAAATAAACACTACTAGTACCACACATTGATCTAGTAGTGGAGAATAGACACATAAGTGAAAAGAAAATGTTATAAGTACATAGAAGCTGCTCTTCTAGAAAAGGAACTCATAAGAAGCCAAATTTTTAAATGTTATAAATTACTGTAATTGAAGGTGTTGCATCAATTTTAAAGTAGTTCACTGGAAGAGAGCTATAAATAACTTTTCAAATGGCTTTTTGTTGTAGGAAAAGAAATTTCGGATGACTCAAAGCCGTTATGTTGACGGAGTCCAATGACGAGAATGTTATCCATAATATAAAATTATTGGGCGACGGCTTGTGGAGTTCGACTACGAGAATGTTATCGACGATACGAAATCATTGGGTTATGGTACAACACGAGCGGATGGAGCAATTGTGCCTGAGGTTTTGAGTTTTAAAAAATATACGCATATGACTTGGATTTTCCAGTGATAAAGAGAAATTCAAATAATAATGATGATGGAGTTTTGTAATATGTGCTACAAGCTAGATATAAAGTCAGACTGACTGCATGTTCAAATATTCATGGAATATAGAGAATTAACACAGTACACCTCGATCAAAATCAGAGTACAAGTCCTTTGAAGTCCAGATTGTATCGATGCAACAAAGAATTAAGTGCTCCGGTGATACTACTGCTTGAAGTAAATGATATTGTAAAAATATAGCTGCACAAAAGTTACAACTCTGCAATTGTCGAAACAGGTGGATATGAGAGTATGACCTGTGTGGAGAATGATTGTCGAAACTATGTTGAACAAGTTACGAGCTTAAGACTTGGAGAAGGCGACGGTAAAGTAATATAATCATACTTTTCGACTATATAAGCACGGTGCTCCGGGGTCTACTTCAGTATAGATTTGGATGAAGAATTGCATCTGAAAATGTTTTCTAGATAGGTAGGCATGTATGGAGTTTGGCGATATTGTCACATTCGATACCACATGCCTAACAAACAATTTATGATATGCTGTTTGCCCATTTTGTTGGAGTAAATCATCATGGATAGTCGACACTCCTCGAATGTTATCTTATATCAAATGAGGATACTGATACATTTGTGTGACGTTTTCGGACATAGGTGTAGTGCATGAACAACCAAACTTCCAATAGGATAATTACTGATTAAGATAGGGCAATGCAAAATGCAATTCAAATCGTGTTCTCCAATAAGAAACATATGTGGTATTAGTGACACATATTGAAAAAGTTGCCAAAAAAGTTCGGATTTCAAAATTATAAAGCTTCAATATTCTCTACTATGAATGAATTGGTGTATGATTCTCAATTTGTTGAAAATTTTGAAGAAGGTTGGCTAGTGATAATTAAAACTTGTAATTTCTAGGATAATGAATGATTGTTAGGTTTTTACGATAATAGATCCTGCTATTTAATAACCACTTTCTGGTCAGAGATGTCAACAACTGAACGAAGTGAGAGTATTGATGCATTTTTCGATGAGTATGTTCATTCGAAGACCTTCTTGAAGCAATTTGTTAAACATTATGAACGAGCATTGAAAAATAAGGTTGAGAAGGAGTTTCAAGCAGATTTCAAGTCTTTTTTGCAATTGATACCTTGTGCAACAATCTATGAAATGGAGAAGTAATTTCAAGCAGTGTTCACAATTTTGAAATTCAAGAGGAGTTCGTTGGAAAAGATTATTGTGACCTCATATCTGTTAACGAATGATGTTTTGGGACGACGTACGAGATGGTCTAAGATGTCATACATGACTATCATTGTAGAAAAACATTTGTTGTCTCATTATTGAGGGACAATTATGAAATTATGTACCGATGCCACTTATTTGAGTTGCGAAAAATTCTATGTAGGCTGTGATCGCAGTACTAATGCGCAATGACGTCAAATCACTACCGGATAAATATATTTTACGAAGATGGCAGAGAGATATTATCAGATCCCACACGAAGGTTGTAGTGAACTACAATAGGTTGGTTAGTACCTCTGCATAGTTGGCATATGACCAAGATGGTCAAATCATTTGCTACGTTGGCAAATCACTTGTGATGATGATGTGAAAACTGGTTCTGTATTGGAATTAATCAAAGTTTAATGTAAATTGATAGCAATGTCTAAGTCAAGTTGCGAAAATAATATCCTGTCCAACCATACTAATCATTTAGCATCTGAGTGTGTAGCATCACGGGACACTGGTAGTGAATACAATAACGTACGGGATTCAAAATGGGCAACAAGAAAGTACGATACTGAAAAACATCCGATTAGAAGAAGTCCGTATTGGAATTGAATTCAAATAAATTGAAAGTATGTTATATTATTTCGATAGCTTATCGATTTTTTTTACCGTGTACAAATACAAAGAAAGTATAATTTTAATACGTCATAATGCGGGCATGTTGCAGTTCAATTGAAGGGAAGGAACCCAAAGCATGTAAAAGTAATCTTTGAGATAGTGCAACAATGTTTCAGACAACTCAACAAACATAATATAAGATGCCGGTACCATTATTATATTCACAACTCCTAATAGTTAGTGTGTCTATATATATAATTAAATTTCATAAGATACATATGATTGATAAATTAAACATTTTTCCATGCAGGGTGCAAACCAATGCCTAACTTTTACACAATATTTACAATCATCTAGTTTTCAATCCGCCTAGATGATCAATATAATGATGGGTTCGTTCTAAATAATTTTAATCATCATCGTGTACAATATATCATGCAATGCCTTACTACGTTCCATATTTGCTTGACAACAATGGTGCAAGTTCATGATATTGGAATAACGAACAATGAAATAGATATCTGGTAAATACAAATTATTATGAACCTATCAATTATTCTGATCATTTGGTGTCAACTTATCTTCTTTTTTCTATAGCTATACAAATGGCAAATGTACATGGAAAATCAAACAAGTGCCATATGAAGTAGGAGAGCCTTTGAGTTTAAAGCTTGTATTGGTATTCTAATTCGATTAACGAATAATCAATTAGTTGTGGGGATGTACTGAAAGTAATATAAATGCCGTCATGGATATTGTGTTGAAATAACTTCTGAACTAGAAAAGAAATTGTTATGCCATTTGTTCTACATGTTTGCTATGAGATATTTTACAATTAGTTATCGTTGCAGGCACAAAGCCAATAGGCATATTTTAAATACAATCTTATTTCCCTTGATATTATACATTCATTGATTGGCAAGTCCAAGCCATTCACATTGCATAAAAATAGACAACAATATCATATAGACAATGGAAATCGAGTTTTCATACGACTACAATTACAAAAGCAAATTACTTAAGTAGTACATCCCATGAAACTACTAATCCATAAAATACATAACTAAAATAAAGTCATTAAATTAACCTCTACAACTCATTCATGTCCCTTTCCTTTCTTATCCCCTTCCACATTTGCTCTTCCTTCGCGTATTGTCACGTTAATAGAAATCTCCACATCCTATTGATCAAATAATCAATAACGAGATTCAAACATGGCAGATAGATCTTTAGCTCCTTCATTCTTCATGTGATTGTTCGAAATAATGCTAATTGCACTTGATTCACCACTTGTTTCACCATCTCCGACCTACTCCCAATATCTATATTTTGCATTACCAGTATTAAATAATCTACCTTTATTCATACTCTCTTTATCCAACTCAAAACATTTGACGAATGCATGTTGGTACTATGGGCAAAAGTTTTTCTCCAGACACAACAAAAAAAAATACCCCTTTTGTCTCCAACTATGACATACTCCCTGATTCTTTCCTACCATTGTAAGCTAGGAATAAACCACAGTAGATCGAATGTCAACCTTTAAGATAGAGTGAATTGCCACTTGAAACCATAACTCTACATTAATCAAACAACAAACACATGCGTAATTATAGTAATTCCAATTTCCACTCCATTGAAGCTACAAATTAAACTGAATGTCAACCTTAAAAACAGATTCGAATTTCACAGCAAAATGCCACTTCAAAACATGAATCTACATTAATCAAAATACGAACACAAAACTAGAATTATTGTCATTCCATTTACCTTTCCATTCAAGCTACCAAAAAACTGACTATCAATCTTAATTTAATTAAAATGATTAAATGACATATTTAAACCGTTAAAGATACAGGAGAATCAAATTATAAATTCATCCCACGACACCCCACTACCAACATCACCTTCCTTTGTCATAAAATCTAGCACCATCACCATCCCAATAGATTCGTATTTGGTCATAAAATATACCAAAGCAAATTTATTGTGTTTACATGCTACAATATTGATTTCTTGCAACCAAATCCACGCCCATCTAAACCTAACAACAAACTTACTTCTGCTTGCTATAAATTTTGTTGGAGAAGATGGGACCCATCGCCAAACAACTCACGAATGCCTTTGAAGATTATTCTGGCGTAGCTGGGTAACTGTGTTAGACAAAGATGAGGTTCGGCTCTTCTAGAGCGGCAAGAGAAACAATGTAGAGATGCCTTTTGTTGTGGCAACATTGGATGGTTTGAGAGATTTGGTGCTAGCATTGGAGGGTTTGCGAGATTTGGGGAAAACCAAACGGTTGTGGGATTATATGGGTTGGTTACTGGGTATTGGAAGGTGACAAAACTGCTGAATTAGAAAGACAGCAGACTCAGTAACACAGTCAGCAAAGGAAGGACACATTGGAAATTAACCACTATACAACAATAACAGAATAAGAACTCTCTAGAGAAGGAAGAGAAATTCAGTATTAGTTAAAGAATTTGTTTTGTAAATCTGTATTGCATGTAAATATTCTTCTAGAATAGTCTTTGGCATATATATATACACATACCTCTGTACAGCTTACGGTGTGAGAAATCAACACAATTTAATTTCAATTTTCTTCAATCATTCAGCCAATTCTCCTTATCTTATCTTTATATTTCTGAAATGGTATTAGAGCCTGTTTTGGAGGATTTCGATGCTGGAAATATAAACACAGATCAAATCCAAACCCAAAATTCAAATGTTAATCAGTCTGGTAATCCATCAAATATTGTAAATCATGATCCTACCCAACCAAACAGTCCATATTTTATTGGGAGCAATGACAACACTGGAGCCATGCTTGTTACTCATACTTTGGATGCTAATAACTATCACTCATGGGCTCGTTCATTGAAGAGGGCATTACGAATCAAAAACAAGTTAGCATTCATTGATGGAAGCTTAAAAGAGCCTGCAGATCCAAATGATCCACTCATGGAGCACTGGCTGCGTTGCAATGATATAGTGATTACCTGGATGCAAAACACCATTGCTGTTGACATCAAGTGTAGCACCACATATGCCGAGACAGCGCACCAGCTATGGATTGAGCTGGAACAGCATTTTGCTCAACAAAATACACCTCGAATTTTTGAAATTAAGCAGGCAATAAGTATGTTACTACAAAATGAAAAACCTGTAAGTGTCTATCTCTCCAAATTCAAAACTCTTCTAGATGAACTCATGAATTATGAAGCTGTGCCTAATTGTAGTTGTGGGAGTTCAAAGATTGTTATTCAAAATCAACAAAGGGATTGGGTAATTAAATTTTTGATGGGTTTGAACGATTCATATAAAGGGATCAAGGCACAAATCTTGCTAATTAAACCATTTCCCATCTTGAATGAAGTTTATTCAATAATACAACAAGAGGAGAAAATGAGGGAAATATCAACTGAGGGGTCTTCACATGAGTCTATGGCACTTCTTGCAAGGGGGAGCTTTAAAGAAAAAGGGAAAAAAATACTCAAAGGAGGGATAGATACTACTGCACATTTTGCAAAATTCCAGGGCATTCACTTGAAAGATGTTTCAAAGCAAATCCAGACAAACCAGTTTGCACTTATTGTCAAGTTCCTGGCCATTTAGTGGACAAATGTTTCAAACTCCTTGGCTATCGTCCAGGCCACGAGTTTAGTGGAAAAGAAAAGGGATCAGCAAACCAAGCTATTGCAACTCTATCTCCTGCACACGAGGTTGGGAACAACAAATCTCAGGCGTACTTAAGTCAAGAATAGATTTCTCAGCTAATGACTTTCCTCAAACCAGTCAACAACTCTCAAACCCACTCAGTCAATAATGCTTAAAACATTATTGCCTCCACTTCTACTGATGAAAACATACATCAACTCTCTGGTATATCTCTATGCATGTCTATTTTTAAATCAAAGCAATTTAACATAATGGACATTTCTTGGATTCTTGATACAGGAGCAACAGATCATATTGATCTGCTCCACTTCATTTTTCTCATCCATTTGTGCTGAAGTTGCGTACTCTATTGCTCTACCAAATGGTAACACGGTCCCAGTTACCCACATAGGAACAGTTAAAGTCACTGATGTTATGATACTTGAAGATGTTCTTTGTGTGCCTGATTTTTCATTTTATCTCGTTTCTGCCAAAAAGTTAACACAAATGCTGAAATGTTGCCTAATCTTCTTCTCTCGTTATTATTTCATCCATGACCTTTCAGCTTGGAAAACGATTGGCATGGGTGAAGTGAAGGAAGGGCTTTATCATATGATGCTCAAGGATGTTTCTTCTTCAGCCTTATCAGATTACTTAAGCAAGTTACATAACCAGTTTCCAATCTCCGCTTCAATGACCTCTAATACCCAAAGTTTTGGTTTGGCATTACAGATTAGGACACACGTCTTACTCTATCCTTAGTGTAGATGATGATGTTCAATTTTCAAAGTCATCCAGTAATAAGTTTTCCTCTATATGTCCTTTATCTAAAATGCACAAGTTTCCTTTTCCTAAGAGCACTCACAAAACTAGAAAATGTTTTGAATTACTACATTGTGACATTTGGGGTCCTTGTAATGAAATTGGTAGTGATGGTTCTAAATAGTTCTTAACCATTGTGGATGATTTTAGCAGATGCACTTGGGTATATACCTTAAAACTAAAATCTGATGCTACCAGTGCACTGCAAGGCTTTTGTGCTATGGTTGAAACACAATTTGAAGCTAAAATTAAAATCATTAGAACGGATAATGGTAGGGAGTTCAATATGAAAGAATTTTACCTTAAAAAAGGCATTATATACCACAAAACTTGTATTGAAACACCCCAACAAAATGCTATTGTTGAAAGAAAACATCAACACATTCTTAACATAGCTAGGGCCTTGAAATTTCAAAGTGGAATCCCATTGAAATATTGGAACCATTATGTTTTAACCGCAGTGTATCTCATAAATAGGACTCCTTCATCCATATTGAAAAACAAAAGCCCTTATTAGATCTTATTCAACGAAAGACCACTTTACAACCATCTCAAAGTATTTGGTTGTCTTGCCTTTGCTACCACCATTGTCAATGGAAGACACAAATTTGATCCTAGAGCAAAAAGATGCGTGTTCATAGGCTATCCATTTGGAGTCAAGGGATATACTCTACTAGACCTCGAAACCAGGAAAATTTTTGTTTCTAGAAATGTAGTGTTTTATGAGAATATTTTTCCTTTCAAAGAAAATTCCATTAAGACAGATCAAAACAATATGAGCTCCACTCAAGATCTCATACTTCACAATGAAACAATTACCACATTCCCAAATACTAGTCATGACATTGATGTGCCAGAAACAAATTACCAAACCGTTCAGCCCATGGAAGATTTTTTACAAAATTCTGACCATGATAAATCCCAGCCTGACACTAACACTGATAATCTAGACCTCAACAACTCTTTTTCACTCATTTTTCTCGTACGTCAGCAAGAATCTGAAAAGCACCAGCATATCTTCAGGACTTCATATGCCATCAAGCCACCTCCCTTCACCCATCTCACAGGTGGACAAGCTGAAGGAACAAAACTCTTTAGGTAATCACTATCCTCTTAACACTTGTGTTTCTTATGAGAAATTATCAGATTCACATAAAGCTTTCGTTACCTCTATCACTTTTCAATCTGAACCTAGAAATTACCAAGAAGCCCAAAATTTCCCTGAGTGGAATGCAGCCATGGAAACTGAGATTGAAGCTCTTGAACTTAATGACACTTGGGTTTTAGTCGACCTATCTCCTGGCAAGAAAGCAATAGGCTGTAAATGGGTATACAAAGTAAAGTTCAATGCTGATGGGAGCGTAGAAAGATTCAAAGCAAGACTTGTTGCTAAAGGATACACACAACAAGAAGGAATTGATTATCACGAGACATTCTCACCCGTTGCCAAACTTGCCACAGTCATAACGTTGCTAGCAGTGGCAGCCATAAGAGGATGGCATCTTTTTCAGTTTGATGTCAATAACGCATTCTTACACGGTGAATTAGAAGAAGAGGTCTATATGGAGATCCCCCCTGGTTACTTTAAAGCTGAAAACAAGAAAGTTTGTATGCTCAAAAGAGCTTGTATGGTTTGAAGCAAGCATCACGCCAATGGTATGCCAAACTTTCCAAATTTATCATCGAACAAGGGTATATTCAATCAAAGGCAGATTATAGTTTGTTCACTAAGAGTAATGGTGCTTCCTTTACTGTAGTTCTAGTATATGTTGATGATATAATTGTGGCTGGAAATTGCATTAGTATGATAGACCATCTTAAAATTTCTCTTCATGACAAATTTAGGATCAAGGATCTTGGTAAACTAAAGTACTTTCTTGGAATAGAAGTAGCCAGGTCTGCAGAAGGCATTTATGTATGCCAAAGGAAATATGCTCTTGATATCTTGAATGATTCAGGAACAATTGGTTCAACCCCTGTAAGGATACCATTGGACCAAAATGTGAAGTTGATCAAAGATGAAGGGGAACTACTCTCTGAACCTGGACTTTATAAAAGATTGGTTGGCAGATTATTGTATCTAACAATAACTAGACCTAATATTTCATACTCGGTCCAATTGTTAAGCCAATTTACGGAAAGTCCTAGAATTCCACATCTCCACGTAGCGCACAAAGTCTTTAGATATATCAAGAGAGCCCCAGGTCAAGGAGTATTCTATCCAACAAATTCAACGTTACAGTTACATGAATATAGCGATTTGGATTGGGGAGCTTGTCCTAATACCAGGCGTTCAGTGACAGGTTATTGTGTGTTAATTGGAAAATCATTGGTGTCTTGGAAATCAAAGAAGCAACATGTTGTTTCAAGATCATCTTCGGAGGCAGAATACAGAGCTATGGCAGATTTGTGCTGTGAATTGACATGGTTCAGGTACTTATTTGAAGATCTAAAGATAGCTCATCCCCAAGCAGCTTTCCTATATTGTGACAACAAATCAGCCGTTCATATAGCTACCAATCCAGTTTTTCACAAAAGACCAAACACATAGAACTCGATTGTTATTTAGTTCGTGATAAAATTCAAGATGGACAGATTGTTAGCAAACATTTTCCTAGCAGGTCACAAATTGCAGACATTCTAACCAAAGCCTTGAACTCTCAAAGTTTTTATTTATGTATGCTCAAGATGGGACTAATAGACATATATTATCCATCTTGCGGGGGGTTATTGGAAGGTGACAAAGCTGCTGAATTAGAAAGAAAACAGATTCAGCAACACAGTCAACAAAGGAAGGACACATTGGGAATTAACTACTACACAATAATAACAGAATAAGAACTCTTTAGAGAAGGAAGAGAAATTCAGTATTAGTTAGAGAATTTGTTATGTAAATCTGTATTACATGTAAATATTCTTCTAGAATAGTCTTTGATATACACACACACACACACACACACACACACACACACATACCTCTGTATAGCTTACTGTGTGAGAAATCAATACAATTTAATTTCAATTTTCTTCAATCATTCAGCCAATTCTCCTTATCTTATCTTTATATTTCTGAAATTGGGATTATGCGAGTTGAAACATTGAGCCGATTTTTGGGTTTTTTGAACGTTGCTTCCCCCCCCCCCCCCCCACCTGTTTTGAGAACAAATATGTATGTGAATATTTACATGATATAATAACCTGTTAAGGATGCTCTCCTTTTGTTACCCCCCCCCCCCCCCCCCCCTTTAATTTTTGCTTTTTCCATGTCAGCAAAGCGCGATTGAAATATTTTTTCATGCAAATTAATTATGTAATTATCATTTTTCAAATCATAATAACATTTCCCACAAAGTAATAAGAAGTTTACCCTTACCAATGATTTGTGAGTACGATTAATCATTGTTCTTTTCCTGTTATATTATTTTTTTGATCGGTAAATGTGAAATTTCATAGATCAAAATTAATTTACAAGTACACTGAACATACCCGGGAGATCAAAAAGCCAATAACTAATACATATACACCTAATATACCCAGGAGAAAGCAAATAAAAACAGATATACCAACATCAGTCTAAAGCCTGACAGCAAAATATTCAAATTGAATCAAAACATACAGATACAAAATGAACATAACTTTGTATACGTGTGTTTTAATTCGTCTTACAATAGATTCAACTTGCGCTTCATAGCCCCCCGTGGCACATCCAAGTTGGCGGAACAATCACATTGGGGGGCTCTGGAACCAAGTGTGGGGAGTTCGATTCCTAGTAGGAACCTTTGATCCAATAAAGGAGGAATTATTGGTGGATTAATCACTATGAAGGAAGGCTTCCTTTGGGGAAGGAGTAAAAGCCGTGTGGGAACCTGAGAACCAACAAGGGCACATCCCGCGATTTACCTCCCTGAGCTGCTGAGGGGCCGGAGGTTCAGGGACGAGGATATAGTCTAGCGCAAGCTGGGACACCTCGTTAAAAAAAAAAAAAAAAAAAAATCCTTGCGAATTAATACCATAAAAAATACATCTATTTCCTGTTTTATTACTTGAACTGCAGCCTGGATTTACTTTACACAAATAAAAAATGAGACAAAAGATCAGATTTTCTGACAAATGTGTAGGTTACCATAAAGATTTGT